TTTGGTCCTCAAAAACTGCGATATTAGCAGGAAAAAAAAATATTGAGTTCACTATGGTTAGAGAATCACAAGATGGCTGCATCATCATGGTCAACACAGAAATTAAACAACAAACATTTCAAATTACAAAAATCTACGCTCCACCTAGGAGCGAAGATAGAGTTCGCTTCTTTGAAAATTGGACTCCACCCATAGCAGAAGAAAGAATATGTATCATTGCTGGTGACTTTAACACGAATCTGGATATACTGACAGCTTTGTTTGCTAAAGAGAGCCCATTTCTTACGTTCTACCAATCCACACACAACAGTCAAAGAATGGCAACATGCCTTGACTATATTTTCATAGAGGCAAACCACAGCCATTTTTGCAAAAACACCAATACAAAATTCGGGAATTCTGACCACTCATTAGTAGAATCAGAATTCAACTTTAAGCCATCGCACACCAACAGAGCACAATGGAGATTTGATAGAAAATCCTGTGACATACCAGAATTAAAAATCGATATAATGAAAGAACTTCAAGAAACTCAAAAACATCTCCAACTGGGACTTTTGTAAATGTTCAATCCAATCTATAATAAGAACTTATAAGCCCGGTTCTTCTCCAGAAAGGAACGCCCAAAGGCTTCACAAAAGACTTTGTAATCTGAACAATAAGATAGCCCAAAACCCTGCCTTAACTGATCTCAAACTGATTACAGAGGACCTTAACTTAAAGTTACAAGAGGAACTGGCAATTCTCTCAGACAGGTGGCGTATCAGGTCAAATGCCAAATAGTTAGAAGAAGGAGAGAAGTCAACAAAATACTTCTTTGCTCTCTACAAGAAAAAACATTCTACAACAAGCTGCTCAAAAGTAAAAAATCCTAATAGTACAAATGGGATGTCTCAGATACAAACTATTAATTACATCAAAGATTTCTACCAAGGCTTTTCAACTTATGAAAGACCTGGCTCAGGTCTCCTCGGAACATAACCAGGCACTAATCAAACCAATCACAGAGGAGGAAATTCACCAAACAATTGATAAACTCCCAAATAATAAGGCCCCAGGCTCTGATGGTCTTATATACGAATTCTACAAAGATGCCAAAAATGCTGTTGTTCCAATACTAGCTAATCTCTTTAACGAGGTCCTCTCACAAGGCCAAATCCCCAAGTTGTGGAGCAAAAGCTTGGTTACCTTGATCCCTAAAAAAAAAACAATGATTTAGAGAACATTAATAGCTGGAAACCAATTTCGCTAGTCAATGCTGACGTGAAGATTTTTATGAAAATACTAGCAAACAGAATTAATCCAATCTGCAATGAAATTATAGGTCCAGTTCAACAGGCATTTATAACCAACAGATCTATTACAGATTCAGCACTAGATATCCTCACAGTGCTAAGAAACCAAAATGACCAATCGAAACAACACTGGCTTCTTTTGCTAGATCAACAGAAGGCATTTGACAGAATTAGCCACAACTTCATACATATAGTTTTAGAAAGAATGAATTTCGACCACAACTTTATTAGAGTTGTCAATGCCTTATTTTCCTCACAAGTTGCACACATAGTTGATTCAGGCCAAATTTTAGAATGAAGAGAGGGGTAAGACAAGGAGACCCGCTCTCCCCCCTTCTATACGTTCTGGCTATTGACCCCTTATAAAGACCATCACTCAGAACATTAGAGGCATTCCTATTAGTGATGCAAGCTTTAAAATTGCCGCATATGCAAACGATCTTTCAATTGGAATTAGTTCTCCTTCAGACTGGTCAACACTTCTTAAGATTCTTAGCAACTATGAAAAAGCCTCAAATGCTATAATTAACAAACACAAATCAATCTTTATACCAATAACAAACAATGCTAGTAGAGTTAAACTCTCAGAACAACATAACTTTAAAATCCTAGCTAATGACCAGGAATACTTCACGTTCCTTGGGTATAATGTAGACATTAAAGACAAAAAAAGTCAGGAAAAAAATTGAGGAGCTCTCTAAAAGAAACCTATCATTCAGAGGAAAGATTCTCGCAGCCAAAACATTTCTTATTTCAAAGATATGGTACCTGGCCTATCTTCTTCCACCATCAAGAGGACAACTCAAAGAAATCGACTCGCTTATAAAAAAATGGATTAAGAATAATTCACAGACACTCCCCCAATATTCAACATTCCAACTTGGTTATAAGAAGGGAGGTCTATCCATGCCAATTCTCAAAGACATGCTTGATGCTAGAATTCTCTCAATTTGGATCAAGTTGCAGAAAGAAAGATAATCACAGTGGAGATCCGCAACAAAAGAAATATCACAGTCAAAGAGGCTTTATCACAATACCCTTGCAAGACCAAAGGTTGGCCAGAAAGATGGAAACCTTAAGGGAAAAATCGAAACAACAGGCACCTGGCTATGGGAACCTAGTAATCTCAAATTAGGCGCAATAGAGGGTCAATATTTCACAGTCCGTAAGGCCCTAAAAAGCCTATACGAATCACCAGCTCCTCAGAGCAATGCAGACCAAGACCACTTTCAATTTAAATGGATTAAATCCGAATGGAGTCTTAACAAGAAGAAAGACATTTTTTGGCGCCTCATTCATAGGGCCTTACCTCTTGGGTACCGATTGTTACACGTCGATCCTAATAGCCTTGGGGATTGCCCTAATTGCCTAAAATGCCCTATAAGTAGAATTATTTGGGAAACTGCCTACAAAGCTCTGAAGACAACGGAAGAGGACTCAATTTCTCGAACATTAGATGATATCTTCAAGAAACACAAAACTGCAATTTGGTTACACATAATCTACATCTATGAGATCTGGTGCTAGTACATGCAAGCCAAGTGGGTGATAATGTTATCCCTCAATCTACAATTGCAAATATAACAAGGGTCAAGATAAAATTTGAAATTAACCTTCTACACAGAATACTTGGCCTAAAGGCCGCAAAAAGCCAGGTAGCGGCAAAAACATTCTTGATTTTATAGAACTTTCTGTATAATCTTTGTAACTTAATATGTATATAAATAAAGTACCAGAACCAGTACATTCATTTATATAGGGTTGTCTATATACCATTTGCCTGTGAGTGGTTTGTGATCAAACTATGGTTCTGCAAGTGCCAGGAATGGTGCCATTAAATATAGTGCTTGGCTGCCCAGGTACCATGTTTTAATGGCACCATGCCCAGCACTTGCAGAACCTAGATCAAACCATTGAACTGTAGTCAGACCTTCCTAAATGTAGCTTGAGCCATTTTTGTTAATCTTGAAGAGTTAAAAGAACAATTAGCTGAGTATGAAGCTAAGCAAAAAACTGAGTTTCAACAACAAGAAATTAAGGAATTGCAAGAGCTTATTAAATATATGACTGCTAAAGGAGAAACTGAATGCAAGCTTGACACTAACACCAAAGCTCCTATTGTCTTATTTGATAAAGCAGAAAAGGTAAGCAATAGTGCTGTTTTAGACGCTTTAGATAAAGTTCTAGATCCTAATATTAACCAAGCCTATTATGATAAGTTCTTTGAAGGAATATTACCGTTTAGCACTATATACAGTACCCGATGTGACACAGTTTTTTACATAGTGAAAAATTAAAAATCATGTGTATAACTTAATTGTTAACATCACATAGTAAATATAAATAATATTTTAAAAAATTGATCTACATTATTTGTCACGTTGGGTACTGTATACAGTGCTAAACAGTAAATCTCAAATACTGTCTTTTTTCTTACCATGAACTGAGAGTAGCTTGCAGGGACCAAACTTTTAACAATGTGCATTAGAGAATTATAAAGTCAAATAAGGCTTTACTATATAATGATATAGTGTATAATATTGTAATTAATAAATAAATCTATCAATATGCTTCCATTTGGGATTCTAGAATTAATAATCTGATTTTGACAAAATAAACGATGTATTCATTTCAAAAGAATTGATTTTTAATTGCTAATCGCTTACTGGTATTAAAAGCCAATGTTATCACCGGGTATGCCTATTTAATTTTTAAATCTGAAATAAGATTTTTTAAGCACCCACT